CCACCAAGGCTGGCTGGGGATTTCTGGGAGTTGAAGTCCACACATCTTCAAGTGGCCAAGGCTGAAAAACAATGATTTAGACCAAATCTCCCTTTGATTACTTTCCTTGTCTCCCCACAATCTCCCACGCGATCAGCATAAACGTTCCAGCAGGAATGATCTTACCCTGAGATCTAGATTTTTGCCTTTAAGTGGGACAGCAGGCAAAGCTCTCCAGAAGAATGCACACAGGCAGATTTCTGACTCATGATGAGGTTTCCAGATTGCTTGATGCAATGGTGGTATCTGCGCACCTCAGAAGAGAGAAAGGCCTCCTGAGACAGCTTTTGGGCAACTGTGTGGCTCAACAAACTAGGGTTGAAATTGTTCAGAAATAAGAAGAGGTGGACAGGAAGGAAAATGTTGAAGACAACCAAGAAATGGTTGGAAAACACACAAATGGGGGAACACATAAACAGGTTGGGGGATGACTCAAATGACTATTTCTCAGACACATAATATCCAAGAGGTCTTATCTCTCTTCCCCTTGACTTTGAAGCAGGACAGACTGGTGGAGATATAGCTTAATGACCTCAGTTGCCACCTCCCCTTTGACCAGCTGAATAATTGCTATCATGGCCTATTCTTGTGAATGGCTGAGGCATTAACCAACTACATGTTTAATTGAAGATTAGGATTTTATATCTCCTCATGATGACTTGCACAACCGCAGAAGAATTTGCGGGATGAGTCTTCTCCAAATCAAGATTGGACCAATGCCCTTTTGGCTTATCAGACCCTAGCCTTTTAGCCTCGATCCATAATTATCCTAAATAACTATTCCAAAAGGCTGGAAATTCAGAGCTTGTATACACTTTCTCAATAGGCAATAAAATTAAAATAGCTCTTTGGATACAGGGTATCTAGTGGTTGTGAAATGCTAACCGAAAAGGAAGAAGCCTTAGGATACAGACCCAGGGATGTCTACTTGAAAGTAAAAAACCACTCTGGTTAAATGATCCCACTAGGACTTGTGATCTATTTTGCAAGGCAAATGAATCCATATGCTTATTTTAAAAATCAAAGTATTCTACTGGAATCAGATGATCAGTGTGGCACTCAAAAGGGAGACATGCTCTGTAGTCACATCTCCCTCCTGGAAAAAATGGTCCTGGGTGAGGTTCTTTCTACTTACCAAGGGGAATATGAATCTGCATTTCATCTTCCACAAGCAAACGACACACTTAAAAAGAAGAAAATAGCTGTGCAAGAGAGGTGTCCAGTCTTTCTGGTGGCCACAGTACAAAATAGCACAGGGACACAGAGCCCAGTGGCCAGATGGAAGGAGATGGCCCCACAGCAGACCTCAGACCTGTTGGGCCAGTTGGAACCCAGCAGATCACCTCCCCTTCAGGTTTCTTCTCTGTATGTGGTGGATTGTCCAGATGGGAGATCTTCAGCTGTGATAACTGGGAAAACATTACTTTCATGTTGGAACAGCTTGGGTTGGCTTCAGGCAGCCTTAGAGATAGAAGTTCTATTGTGAGGCATGTCCTCAGTGAACAGCATGTGCATGGGGTAGCATTGTAAGCAGGTTGTGTTGATGGGCTGATACGATGCATGGAATTCCTTAATAGCAGAACCTTCTCTGCTCTTCCTGTAGCAACTTTAATTATTTCCTGCCTTGGTACTCGGGCATCACCTAGGCCAGGGTTCCTCAACCTTGGCCACTTGAAGATGTGTGGACTTCAACTCCCAGAATTCCCCAGCCAGCTGGCTG